CAGGGATATCATCAGATATATACAGATGGGTCTAGGAACAATGAAGCAGTCTCCATAACTGTCTATAATAGTCAGATCAAAAGTGGATTCGGTCACAGGCTGAATCCACTCACAAGCATATACTCCGCTGAATCCATAGCTGTATATACTGCTATGGAGCACATTCAAACACAGACTCATCCTAAGTGGATTATAATAACGGATAGTTTAAGTTTATTAACGGCACTACAAAATCCACAATTAAATTCAAAAACTAACTATATTATACATAAAATAAGAGAGTTGTATCACCTGCTGTCTCAAAACAAGCAAATAGTCCTATTCTGGACACCAGCCCACATTGGTGTGCATGGTAATGAGCAAGCAGACCATTTCGCTAAATTTATTACAAATCTGGCCCACAATCAATTAAGTCATAACTTTTTAAATTTCCCAATTCCTTATTCAGACGCTCCTAAAACTCAAGTTACAGAAAGAATTTTAGAACTTGTGGCATCAGATGGTAAAGGTAAAAGGAAAATGGTTCGCTACAATAAAGAAAAAGGTCTCTTCTCCCTGGTTTACCCGGGGTAGTGACTATAGCCATAGAAAGTATTATACCACAATCTGTCGTTTGCGTCTGGGACATTGTCGTTTTGGTGCTCACCTTTTTAGGATTGGTGTTTTTGACTCTTCAACTTGTAGATATTGCAATAGTGCTGATGAAACCCTCGAACATATATTTTTTGATTGTCCACAGTTTAGTATTCAAAGGATGGTCCTTGTAGATCAACTTTTAAGTATTTTTAAAACTGCTGAAGATATCCCGCGCTCCCTTCAGCAAATACTAAGCATTCAAGAATGCTTCTTGCCAGTTTATGGCTTTATTGTTTCTACTATAAATGAAATCTAATTGTTATTTGTACATATGTATATAATACAAATTTATTCGTTTTGTTTTAGATATTTGCTTTCAGCTATTTCAGCTATTTTCAGAATTTGACTGTTATATCGATTTTGACAATTTAATTATTGTACTAAAAATGACATTACAAGGACTTGACATTGAAAAAAAAGAATTTGCCAAAAAAAATATTTTAAATAAATACATGGTTTCGGCCTTATAATTAAAAAAGGATTCAAGAAGAAAAATTAAAAGAAGACATGGCTTCGGACTTAAATTTAAAAAATGTTTTAAGAAGAAAATTAAAAGAAGACATGGCTGTATGGGCTTTGTTCTCTTTGCCTGTTCTGAACGGAACGAACATAACCAAAAAAAAAAGTCTATGGCAACATGACATTGACACTTAACAATTACCATGCCAGATGTATTGTTATTTGAGTCTGACTAATGACTTGTTTAACTGTTTAACTGACTTGTTTTCAACGACCACTGCTTTGTTTTTTACGGACTCCGAACCCGCCTAACGTTTTACGACCGTTGCTTTCACATTGGACACCGACGATCGCCTGCACGTTTGACTTGGAATTGTTAATTTGGATTCGCTCACGCTGGCTTGTGGATTGGATATTACTGAAACGATGGATCGCTGTGTGAATTTTGGGATAGCAACTAGTAACATTGTACCCCTGCATAGTCCCTAGACGATATTTTAATTATTATTGAAGAGGAATAAAGTATTCCATTAAAATTATTTGTTTTATTTTATGACTTTTATCACATAGTTCACTCCTGTTCCTCGTAAAATTCCATACTTGTTACCGATATCTGTATGTCTTTGAGTCTTTCTTGCCTTGTTATAACTTACCAGATATTCTCTTCTAAATAACATTATTATTTTTCACATACTTTTAAATGTATTCATCTAACTCCTTAAAGATAATGCAATATAACCTCACTTTTACTAAACCTCCAATAACTCAGCTATCTGATTGTCAATTTCTATAGAATTTTCAATGAAGAAACTCTTAATTTTGAACCTTTTAATTAATATTATTTTTATGTCTTTATGAGGGCCCAGAATCGTATGCAATACTTTCGATCTCCTTTGTTACTCGTTCAATTTCTTACAATTGATACATTTTTGTCTTCATCTCTTGACCAGTATAATTTCGTAGCAGTGAAAGAATGATATCAAGACAATAACAATATACCAATAAATCTTTTGAGTTCTGCTACCGGGAGAATAATAAGTGACCAATATTTGGCCAAAATAAAAAAAATACTTTGTAACTTTCAATTTCAGAACTTATTTGAGAACTACACAATTACAAATACATACACACACATACAAATACATCTATATACAAAAAACAATAATAAAAACAGGGACTTAATACAGATTCTTAACATTCTTGACTTTCTTGACAGGAGAATATTTATAAAAAAAAAATAAATAGAAGTAAAACAAATACTGTGATTTTTTTTACTCCTTCTCTGTACAAGCTATCAGATTGCGGAATAAACTTCCACAAAAAATTAGAAAGGCACCTACTAGGGCATTTTTAGGCGTCGTTTCTACGAACATCTTGTTAAGAATGGACGGATCATCATTGCCTTCGTCGTCGTCGCCCTCGCCGTATGCATGCATGCATCATGAAATCATTTTTGTATGATGTATTAAAGTAACTTTATAATCATAATTTAATATCTTCCACGTTTTCATGATAGCCAATAAGTCGGAAGGTCGCAGTTATATAAGATGAGTCAAAAGTATTTATTTCTTTCCTATGTTTATTAAGTATAAAAATTAGGACATTTTTGTATGCCTGGAAACATTCGGAGTAAATTGGACTGATAACTCTTATTTATTTTGTTTGAAGGAGTAATGATCTCGGGACACCTCGAGGGTGTGCTGGGCCGAGTCCACCGCAGCGCCGCACTAATGGCAGCCTCCTCCCGGCACTCTCCTGGCCGTCCTACACAAGTAGTACTCGAAGTACCCGTGTCGGAGTGCCCTCCTATCCGAGACGTAGTCGGCCACGAGACGCCACGAGATCCCAAGGCGGATCGCCGGCAAGGGCAGTCGCTGTGGCCCAGGAGACCGTACGGTACCCACCGCCGTCTTAAACTAAGCTGGGGCCCTTGGGCATATCAGAATTAGAGGCCCTTTTGGAAAGTAAAAAACGCTAATTACACTAACATTTTAAAAATAAGTTTAATCATTTATTGATGTTATAAATACGTCATTAATGATATACGAATGCTGCTGTTTTTTGGTTCTGATTACGATAATGGTTTCTTTCGGGATTTCTGTTGAGCAAAATCTTCTATTATATCATTAAAGTCAATGTTTTGAAGGATATCACTTTCAATGCACATAATTGACAAATTACTTAGTCGTTCTTGTAACAATTCATTTTTTATTCATTTTTTATTCTCTTAAGCTGCGAAAATGACCGCTCTCCACTGCCATTAGTAACCATCAAGCAAAGGAATATTCTTGTAGCAATTTCTACGTTTGGAAAAGTTTCTTCCAATTTATCTGCTTTTATTAAGTTATGTAAGGTTGAGATATTTAAATCCGCCGATCGCTTTGCTATGTTTTTTAAATATTGACTTAAATGAAAACCTTCTGTTTTAAACTCATCTGCATTTATGTCTTCATGATAAAATTTTGCAAATTCTTTGCATTTTTTGGTCAACTCATCAAATTCTATTATTGTTAACTGACAAAGAAAACCAAATCGACTATCAATTTCTTAGTATGCTGCAGAACGTTTTTTTTAAATGAGTAATTAATGTGTCAATTATGGGAATGAAAGTATCTACACGAAACTTTCCTTTGCCTCTCAACTGTGCCGTCTTTGATGATCCTTCAAAAAAAGTGATGCGTGTGCTGCGAAATCTTTTTCTTTCAAATGTGTCTTTGTAGTCAGCATATGGATTTTTTTCTTTATTATTATGTTGATACACCTTAAACAAATTATTTCGACCAAATTAGTACCATAAAAACGGTTTTTGTGAGTTAATCTTAAAAGATAGACATATACTGTCGCGGACTGTTTTTAGATCATTAAAAGAGCTATTATTCTTTAATACATATTTTTTGTGTATCTTGAACCGTTTTCACGGCGCACGCAACGGAAGGCTTCAAAGATGAAATAATTTCTCCTGTTTTTTACACATTTACCACTATATCTTTGCTCCTATTGGTCGTAGCGTGCTGTTATATAGCTGTGAGCCTTCCTCGATAACTGGACTATCCAACACAAAAAGAATTATTCAATTCGAACCAGTAGTTTCGGAGATTAGCGCTTTCAAACAAACAAACAAACAAACTCTTCAGCTTTATAATATTAGTATAGATTTGTACAGTAGGAATAGCCGCAGTGATCGATATAATAGCGTAGTATATGCCCACAGTATCTGTGTATATGCCACGTAAATAGCCTCTTATAAGGTTACTAATTTGCGAAAAAAAGTAATGTGTCAGACAAATATGTTTTGGGAATAAATGTGTGAGAGAAATTGTAGGTCCTTCGGGGCCCCCCTGAGAATAAGAGGCCCTGGGCACGGGCCCCGTGTGCCCTTATGGTAAAGACGGTATTGACGGTACCCCCTAATCACCGCAGGAGCTCTTTGCGCAGAGCGCAGTAGTATTTCACTGCAAAGAAGCTTTTTCGTTATAATTTTCTATAACTGGTTCATTCAAATAAATGATTTCATCATTTCAAAGATCGACTAAAAGGTGGAGCATCGGAGAGAATAGGCATTCCTAAAGAACACAAGAAAAGTTCAGCAGCGCATCAAACATTTAAATAACACTCAATTCATTTAAATAAAAGTCACGCTGCCAAAAAAGAAGTAAAGCTACAGTCACTAGTAGACTCCAGCGAGGATCACGACATTAGTCTCCGTCACACAACGATACCGCTGTACACTCACAATCACAAAAAAAAACAACATGTAAACATATATTTTTATGATAAATTTTAATGAGAAAGAAAACAAAAAAAATTGCTCCAAATATTTTATTTCAAACATTTAGCTATAAGAAGCCGTTCTCCAAACAAACCTAATACTAATTCTAACCAATCATAAACTACTACACCACTCCTTAATTACATCTATTACTTCTGAGGATCCGTGAAGCACGTCGTGAACACAGCGGCTTATAATACAACAAGACATACTGTCATATAACATGTAGATATACAGGAGACGTCACACAACAGACGGCACATGGGTAGGTTGTGTGTGTCACGTCGTGAGTATTGGCAGTACATTTACTTTTTATCCACAGCACGCAGCACTGTCAGTGTTAATAATAAGTCACCCCTCCCCCCGCTACTTGCCCTCCCTGCCGCGGTCGCGGTCGCCCCCTCCTCCCTCTCCCTCCCCCTCCTCTCGGCTCGCCTCCCCCCCGGCCGTTTCGAGGGCGGCCGCCAGATCCTCGTCCTCGTCCTTCCCGTACAGCTCCGGGTACTGTGACATACACTCCTGCATCACACTGAACTTCTCATAACAGTCGCTGCCCTTTGGATCCGCCTCACTGAAAAGAGATGAAGTTGCCAATGAATATATTGTTATACAAGAATTAATAGAACTAGCGACAGTTGTCAGAGAGAATAGTATCAGCTGCAGCGGACGATAGTTGGTAGTGATTTGATCGGAACACTAGAGCTTTATATTTTCTAAGAATTATTTAGTGAGTGTATTATTATTGGGTGACTGGGTTCTGAGAATTACTTACAATTAATGGATGGATGCAATTGATATAATTTAAATGTGAGGGTAAGACATAGTATGTTTTCATTAAAAAATTGTATTATTTCAGGAAATAATATATTCTTAGATTTTCCAAAAAATAAAAAGGCAAATGAATATATTAAATAAGTGTCAAAAATTGTGATAAAATGATTTGTTAAATAATTAAATGTTAATTTTATACTATCAAATTTTATAATTTCTATTTAAAGCTTCACCCACATCTAAAAACTACAACTAATTCAGATTACTTCAAGATTCCAAAACAAAGTATGGAAAAGAAGCACAGAGTGGTTGTGCATACTGTCGCTCTGGCTACATAGAGGCGCTAGCAGTTAGGAGCGGCCAAATGAAAATGTTTCCTTTTTACATTGTTAGATGGCACTTATTAACAAATCATGAATCAAATGTCATTTTAAATGTTTGTTAACATTTGTATTTCATAATGTATGTTTAAAAGTATGTAAGTAAGAATTAAACAATATAAGTGTAGTTGTTATATGGGTAGGGTATGCAGTGCTTATTTGCATCTATGGTGTGCACACCACTGATAATAATAAGTGTCATGTAGGTTCTTTGGAGAGTGGAGCTGAGGTAGCACTCAGGAGGGGAGGGAACGAGAGAAACAGAAAAGAAATCTAACCTGTAGTGGAAACATGAGAAGGCATCACGAAACTGAGTACCGCAGGGACCCGTGGCCATCCCACCGAGACAAGGACAGCCCCAGTTGATGGAGCCGTCCGCGAGCAACAGCCCCGGCGCCGGCTCGGGCTCCGGCAGGGACACCGTGCTAGGAGCCGCGAGCTCGGCGCGAGACGCCACCATCACCACGTCCTTCCCGCCCGCGCCGGTCAGCCACACCTGCCGCCCGCCGTCCATGGCGCTCCTCACACCAGCGCCTGAAGTGACGCGGCCACCGCTCGTACTCGCAAGGGGGGCCCCAGGGCCAGCGCCGCGCGCAGCCTCCTCAGCTGTCTGTCTTCTACTCGGAGCAGAGCCCGCCCGTCCCTCACAGCGAGCACGTCCGTCACACTGCCCGCGCCGCTCGCTCCAAACAGTTGCTTCACCGCCTCCTGAACCTGCTGCTGGACCAACAGCTCGGGACGATCTGACTGTGCTCTGGAATATGGACCACTCATTATTTGGTTGTTCATCCTGTGTGTTCAATTGGAACATATTTAGAACAGAGAATTTATACATGATGAACTGATACAAGTCAATTACATTATTTCTTTAGAAAGAAAATACATGCAAGAGATGATTGATAGAAAACAAAAAAATGTATATAGCATATATTTAAAAACAGTATATAAATTAATAGGTATATTTAATGTAACTCATTCAATAATCTTCTTTATGGCACACATATATTTTGCATGTAAATACAAACTTATGTTCTTATTAATTAAAAAAAAAATATTCAAAATTAGTTTGTGGGCCCGGTGGTATCTTTAACATCTCTTCTGATTCTCAAGTAATCAAGAAGTCCATACAGATTGTTAGTTATTTAATAAATCAATAAACCAATTCTATGAAATACGTGCTAAAGAATCATTTATACAGTGACTATTATGCATTCCCCTTGGTTCATAAGTAAAAGTTTTAGTTAATGATACCTATTTTATTTAATAAAAATATTTAAACTAAAAAGATTTAAATTTTATTGAGGTATAGGGTCTTCTGTAGACGCTAAAGTTAAGCTAAATGTCAAGGATGATTCATATTTATTCAGTAGTCTGGCAAAACAATCATCGATTATAGTGTGAATGAAAACATGCTTAAAATAAAAAAAGTTTTGTTTTTATCTCTCATTCCGCTCTATCACTGAAAACTATTTCTTTAAAAGCCTGGCCCGTTTTATATCCATCAGTATATAAAAATGTAATAGAAACCCGGAACATTTTATTACTTGAAATGTTATGCAATACAAAATAACTTACAATTCAATTTCTATATCCAAATAAAAATAGCGGGAGCTCATTCCATAGACATTAAAATAATTATTAAGTGAATTTATATTTTCAAATACAAATTGACGATATTACGTAAAACCTTACAAACACGAAAAAGTTGAGGTTATAACCATGTTATGACTTATCACCTAAGTTGATTTTCAAATAACGAACAGACAAAAAAAGTTTTATTATCTGTATACCATAGATCATAAACAAAGAAAAAACCGTACATGACTGATTAATTCTTAAAATAAATAAATACTTACATTTACATTAATAACTTCAATAATAAATTTAAGTTCTTATCATCAGATCTATTTCTTCTAAGTTTTTTTTATCTAAACTTAATGTCATTGTTTGGTATATCATAGTTCGCTTAGGAAATGAAATCAATTATAGTTTGATTTGATGTATTAGAAAAAAGAATTGCAGGAATTTTTGGTAGAAGTATTTTAAAAGTTTCATGCAAAATTTAGGTTTTTTTGTTTATGGCTTTATTTAAACTGTCATTGTGGAAAACGAAGTTTCGGTCTATCTTTATCTCTCTCAAATTTAACTTATTACTCGAATATACAAGAATCATCTATGAGGAAAGAAATAGTGCTAGACCGAAAGCATAGGCCATCTCTCTCACTCTTTTCAAACCAAAAAATTACTGCAGATTATACAAGTACGGCATGTCCATTAGTATATGTCGATGTATGAAGCTACCATACTGTAAGAAAAATCATAAATGACTTGTTTGTAAGTTAAGTGGTCTGTCATTTTATCATTTACTAGTTTTTGCCCGCGACTTCGTCCGCGTTAGTTTGGTCAAGAGTAATATATGTAGGTATAGCTGACCAGGCGAACTCTATTCCGTCTAAGAGGCCATAAATAATCAGGTTTTTCCTGTTTCAATCAAACAGAATGATTGACATATTAGTTAGTTGTGAAATCTAATGTCAAAAAAAACGTTTGTAAGGGAAAGAGAAAAGGGCTGTTTTTAGGGTTTTCCCGGCAATTACTCCAATTTTTCTCACCTTTTAAACCTTCCCTGGACTTCCAGGAGTATTTCAAGACTAAAATTAGCCCAATCGGTTCAGCCGTTCTCGAGTTTTAGCGAGACTAAGGAACAGCAATCCATTTTTATATATAGATAGAAGATTAAGAGCATTTAGGTAATTGACAGAAATGACCACTCTTGTGTTATAAACAGTAAAGGAAAACCGATTACAGATGGCGCTCTTTTGTAATCTTGTTTCTCTAAAACTCAATAGGTGGCGCTGTTCTAAGTTTTTAATCGAATTAATGAAACCGCTTACATGTCAATATGATCTGTCTTATCATTAAAAAGCCTAATTTATTATCTAAAGAATACAAACCATACAACGGTAGGATTGAAACAAAGCTATACCTGTACAATGCTCTTGTTAGGACAATTTTAGAGTTCGCGTCTCAGATCTGGAATCCTATATACGCTGTTAATTCTCAAAGAGTTGAATCGATTTAACGTGCTTTCACTAGACATCTAGCTTTTGAATGCAGCGGAATATCCCATAGAGCGCCATACGACAGTCGCCTAATTTTTTTTTAAATGGAAACTTTGCGAAATCGTAGAAAACTTCTCGATTTAGTTTTATTATTTAAAATTATGAATGGCACTGTCCAATGTGAACAGGCTCTCCAGAAAATTAAGATCTCAGTCCCATGTCGCCCTCCTAGAAAACCTATCAATAAATTGTTCTACATAGCGAAGTCACGCACAAATGTAGCTAAATTTTCCCCTATAAATAGAATATGTGGCCAGTATAACGATCTGTGTTCAATAACCCAAAATATTGATGTTTTTTCCGATTCCTTGCCGATGTTCAAGCGAAAAATTTATGATGTTTTGTCATGTCCTGTTAGTATAAGCAGTAGTAGTGGTGGTGGTTAGCTGTAGTGGTATATTTTGATTTTTGTTTGATATTCTTTCTTCTTCATTTGTATTTTTTAAGTAATAGTTTTGTTATTTAGTTTATAAAGTTTTGTTATTTCTTTTGTTAACTTGATTTTTTATAATATTTTTGTAAGCTAGACAGTAATTTTTAGCAGTGCTGTGTACATCCATAATTGGTACATACATCAGTTAGTGTTTAGTTTTAAATGTTTAGTTTTAAGTGCTTAATGTATGTACTGTCGATGTGCCGTTCAAATAAATAAATAAATAAAAATAATCAAAACATTATGTTATTTACTTATCGTATATATTTTTCATTTATTCTATTGACAGACACCAACTTTACAAATATTTTAATACAAGTTTTATCAACCAATCTGATCAGTCTCCTAGACTTTTACTGTCCAGTACAAACTTCCACTGGTAATTCTCTGTGTCATGATAATCTCTTTTTGATAATTTGCGTACAAATGTTACAAACTAATATTAGTGTTTGTTAAAAGTATCAACCAAAATATAATCTGGCTCAAAAATATCTATAAATCGTGAACATGTTTGTCTATACGTGACTTGACTGACGAGATACCTTTTTTTATTTTATTTGTACTTCTTGATATTAAACGAATTACTGAAACGCACAGAAAAGGCTCTGTAAGTATTACATGATAGAGATTTTCACTAACATATTTTCCTAATTTTATCTTGAAGCTCCATGAATAAAATTCCATGTTCATTATGATAAATATAAGCATTAAAATAAACAGTAATCGCCTGTCCTACAAACAAAAGAATAATTAAGCACTTTCAGACGATTACATAAAGTTCAAATTCCAAATTCACAAGTGAGTATACAATTCTGATTGTCTTGACACTCTGGTGTGTGTAGACGTGTTCTGTTATAAGGTAGGTCTGAGGTGGTGAGTGTCATGAAGAATTCCATGTTCATTATGATTAATTAATAACTTGTTTTGTACTAACATACCTGATAACATACCACATACAATATCATAACACTTTCTGTGTCATAAGATTACGATGAGCAGAATCAATAATTTCATTGTAACAGTATAATTTATATATTTGGTAATTACGTCGAATATAAACAGAAATTTTCACCAAACATACCGAGTACCAACAGTTAAGTCATTGGTAGCCTAGTGGTTAAAAGGCCCGCCTCTCCTGCACGAAGGTGCGGGTTCGATCCTGGCCTGGGCAATTACCAATGTGATTTTTCCGAGTCATATATACTTTATCAAAAATCACAATATAAATCAGCTTTTTGAATATTTTTTTCTTTTATATTTTTTGTTTGTGGTTCTTCATCTAATTGTGTTTGTATGACTGCACAAACATCATCAACCTCCAATGGATACTTACATGATTTTTTTGTGTAATCTGTAAATAAAATATAGTTATTATTAGCAGGAGGTGTTGTGCTTAACAACTGCATTTTACATGAGTTACAATTTTTACATACATTTTTAATACATTCATGTACTAAATAGCCAGCAACATAGCGATTAGCTTCTATGCTGATTATGTTGCTGGGGTTTAAATTGACATTTTCTTGCAACAAATTAAGTAAAGAATCCACATTTATTTTTTCATTTAATGTATCTCTTACTTTTAACTGCGAATTAATAAGGCAACTTAAAGGTTTTACAATTTTGTTATTGTCATGTTCGCAGTTTGCACCAATGGAATGTGGCGAACTTAAATTATTTACAAGTAAAGTTCTGTATGCAACAAATTGAGAGCAAGTTGGAGATACATTACGGATCCCATTACTTCGATTATTACAAAAAAAATTCTGTAAGGGATCCTGATTTTAGTTTCTTGTTAACAGACTGCTAATGCCTAACATCATGATATTTATTTAACTCAAAAAATAACTCCTAGTGGCATGTGTCATGTATCCAATTTTTAATGGATGGTATCACAATAATTTTTTTATACCATTTTTATCTACTTCAAATCTCATTGAGTTTAATACAGGTAATGTTTCATCCCACAGTTTGAATGTGGAGAATTCGTTTTCAATGCAATCCTATATAATTTAGCATCTTCCTGATAACTATGACCATTGAACGATTCAAAGAGTTTATCTACAAGAAGCAGCAGGTCAGCTGTGGCGACACACTCTTTTGGCAAAATATTATGATCTGGAAATAAAAATTATATTAAAATTATTTTTAGACATAAGCCTTATCATTAGATAGATAAACTTATTTCAAAATTTCTAAATCTGTGGTTTAAATTTATATTGTATTTAAAATGCTTTATGCTGTTTTATAAGTTAAAAGTAAATATAGCATTCATAGTTA